TTCTTAGTAAAAAATGTTAGGTATTTTTCTTTGTCAATCTCACGTCAATTTTTTATGTCCTTTGGGTAAGCTACTACAATTTTTTATATCCTTTCTTTGTCATACTGTTGTTCTGAGAGCAACTATGTACTCAAATTCCAAATTGGCAGATCTATGCTTGATATTCTGTTAGAGAAATATTTAGCAAATTCATTGTGTTGACTTGGGCTTCATTTACTTCTTTGTCCTAGTTGTTTCTTATAATCAAGAGGAGCTTAAAGCGATGCAGTGCTCTGACAAAGAGCCAGACTTTATATAATTTGTTCAAGGTATGTTCATGAAATTTATTCTTTTTGCTTTTTAATTGTATTGCATCAACGTTTGTTCCATATAGGCCAACCAAATTGTACTTGGAAATACTGAACCAAACTGAATGGGTAATTGAGGGGCCCACAGATTGTTGGTAGCATGGCAAAGAAGGGATACAAAATTATTGCATGCATAATTTTATTGTAGAAAGAAAATTCCTGTAGATTCTATTATATACACTAAACCCTTGCCTGTCAATATTTATATACAAGTGAGATTGCAAATTTAGTGACATGCATAAAATTAAGTTGTGGAATGAATCTTAAGAAAAAGAAAAATTTACAATGGTAAAAATGAGGTGGTTGGTTAATGAAAGCTTAAATGATTTTTTCATTCTTAGGTGTTTCAAAGAGTCCTCAAAGCCTATGCCACAAAGCTTTTTGCAAGACTGCCAAAAGGTGGTACAGGGATTGTTGCTGCAGCCACTGGTATGGATGGGCAGATAAAGGTATATTCTCATCTGTACGAACCTTAAGGTGTTTATGGAAATCAAGTGGTCTCTATGCCAGATGCTAATCTTTTATCTTGTGTTTATGGGGCAACATCTCCAGACGTCTGACAGGGATGAAAGAGTGATCTGTTATATTGTAAATTCAGCTGAATATTGCCACAAAACGGTCAGTTTCTGGAATCATTGCTTCTCTCTGATTATCAAATGTGAAATGTGCTACTACCATGTTAGTGCTTGTGCATAATTTTACATGTACATGATATACTATTGTGCTATGAACCATTCTTTATGGTATTTTATTAGTGTTTGTGTGTGAGTGATCACTATTGATTTCATCCTTCAACTATTTAATGGGATTATAATCTATCAGTTACTTTTTTTTTCCCTTAACTACTTTGTATCTTGGTCGCACTTAGGTAGCGTTTGGTATAAGAGAAGTGAGAGCACATTCCCTGCAGTTTGCCCAATTAAATTATATTAAAGTGTTTGTTTTGCAACAGACCACTGCAATGTTAGATTGCAATGCAATCACATTATAGCCAAGGAATGTAATGTGATTGTAGTTCAATGCTAATGCAATCACATTACATTGCACTCTGCAATGTTATTAAAGACATTTTTACCCTTCAACTTTATTACTTTGTTAAAAATATTTTGTAATGTTATAATTAAAATAAAAAATATTAAAATAAAATATATAATATAAGAATCAGAAATTAAAATAAAACAAAATATAAAAATTAAAATTTATATAATATAAGTAAAAAAAATTAAAATAAAATATATAATATAAAAAATTATATTAAAAAAATGAAAATAAAATATATGATATTAAAAATATATCTAAGAGATAATATTATATAAAAATTAATAATAAAAAATACAAATATATTAAACTTGCATTTTAATAAATAAAGATAATTTTGAAAATTAACATTACATTCCCTATAATCACATTGCATTTTAATCATTATGTTGCTTGTATTCCAAACACTGTAATGTTATTTTCCCTGCAATCACATTATCTATAATCACATTGCATTATAAAATACCAAACGTCACCTTATACTTGAGTTTAAAGTAACTCGCTGCATGCAACACTTCATAGCACCATAGCAACATTATTCAGTTCTGTAGCAGGCTGTTGTTGACTATGCTGCCCTACTTATGTATGTTCTTAATTACATGCTTACATTGATGATGAAAACGGATTGTAGAGTTTTAGTAACCCAAGTTTACTTTTACAACAGTCTGGTGAACTGGCTGAAAGTGTCTCCAAAATCATTGATTCTCAATTTGCAGACCGGGTGGATATGTCAGAAGTGCAGGTACAGCTTACTTCATAACTAATTCATTTTATAACAATTCTTTTGTTGATTTCTACAAGGTCTTTTAATTTTGCAGGATGAATTTTCAGCAGTTATAACAAGATCTTTGGTAACCCTAGTGCATGGCCTGGAAACTAAATTTGATGCTGAAATGGCTGCAATGACACGTGTTCCATGGGGTACCCTTGAAAGTGTTGGGGACCAATCAGGGTAAGTTCCATCCTTTTGTGATTTTAATTTCAGCAAGGCCAGATTCAACTTTAAAAGCAACCTCTTTGTCCTTGTTGCAGATATGTCAATGGCATAAATATGATTCTTAACAGTAGCATTCCTGTACTTGGGAGACTTCTTTCACCTATTTACTTCCAGTTCTTCTTGGACAAGGTAAATAAACATGGCCCTTATACTATACTTATTAAGATCGTTTAGTCTTACTATTTGCTTCGTTCTTCTCTGTTTCTTTTTTATTTCCAGTGAGCTTGTTGAGAAACCAAAGTATCTGTATATATGCATGCGTAAGTACATATACATATGCAAATGGGCATTTTTGCATGATTGGTATCTTTTGTAGAAAAACACTTTGCATGTGTATATGCATGCATTTATCTCTATCATCCATTCCAGGAAAATGCAAGCTTGGAATATTGATTTTTTTATTTTACAACACTGCAAGGTTTATTAGTTTGTAATTTCCAAGTGCAAGTTGCATAGTTAAATTATAAACTTTGTGAATAGATATGTTGTTCAACTTGCTTGTTTCTTATTTTGCAGCTTGCATCATCGCTTGGCCCACGGTTCTACATGAACATTTTCAAATGCAAACAGATATCAGAAACTGGAGCCCAACAAGTACTGATCATATTATTGTTTCTCTGCTTTCCTTTTTTCTATTGTTTTATTCTTGTGGTTAAGCATAATGTATGTTGCCATTGTATCTAAAACTTTACATCCATTAACTTTTGGTGAATATTAGTATATAAAAGAACGTTAAATGAGGTGCTGATACTTAGTTGTTTGTGATCTAGGTCTGTTAACTTCTTTGCAGTTACCTCTAAACTCTAAAGACCATGTATTAACATTTTGAATGTGACTGAATAAATTGTGATAACAAACGTGGAATTCGGGTATGATGGCAGTATGGATATTAGGGCATTGAAGAGAAGTTATACGTCTGTATAAATTAATGGTGCAATTGTATTGCAGATGCTGTTAGACACTCAAGCTGTAAAGACAATTCTTTTGGAAATTCCTTCACTTGGTCAACAGGTGAGTTAGTGCATTCAAATAAACGCTTGTTATTACCATGGTAAAGCCTGTTGAGCATGACTTCTTGTCTGTTATTGTTAATCAAATTTTCAGTTAACATCATTGCACGTGACATATTGGACTGTCAAATTGTGCTGCAGATGGCTCTTAAATGTTACTGACCTGAGTCATGGTTTTGCATCTCTGTTTTCATTAAGGTTGCATCACTTTTCAGTTCCGGAGTGTGCAGTATTAATGAAATTATGCTTCAAATAGCTCTTATATGTTATTATTTAAAGGACACTGCTGTATTATGGTCCCATTGCCCTCTGGGACACAAATTGGTATGATCTAAAGATATGACTTATGCTTGAAACTTATCTACACTTTGGAGTAAAAATTACCCCCCACCCAACATTTTGGTGCTCCATTTTGGCTGGGAATATCAATAATGAAGTTACCTCTCTGGTGTTATTTACAATTTTATATGGATTTGTTTCCATATTCTTGATGGCTTAATCAGCTTCTTTGTCATTGCTATTATCCTATTTTGCAAAGAAAAAATAAAATACTGGTACAGAAAACATGATCAATTTAACTTCTATTGGCAGACATCTGGTGCTGCTGGATATTCCAAATTTGTAAGTCGAGAGATGAGCAAAGCTGAAGCGCTTTTGAAGGTACGTGATCAAATTACTGGTCAGCTTTCATTCTGGCAAGTTATGGCTATCTTTTATAATACAAGTTTGCTTTTAATCATTACACAGGTTATACTATCTCCTGTTGATTCTGTTGCGGACACATACCGTGCATTGCTACCAGAGGGAACACCAATGGAGTTCCAGCGTATTCTAGAGCTTAAGGTGAAGTTAATCCTAACTTTGTCACTTCAAATGACTACACTTTTATTAGGAGCATTATTTCAGTTATAGCTGAATGTCAGGTTGACGCTCGGGATATCATTAAATGATTTTAGATCTTACAAAACAGTAATTTTGATGTGCAAATTAAGTATTTAGGTATTTCACGGCTCAAAATTTATGGTTTCTAAGTGAAAACTCAAAAAAAATTCATGTGCAGGGCCTCAAGAAATCTGACCAGCAGACTATATTAGATGATTTCAACAAAGGAGCACCGGCAATCTCACAACCTTCAAGTGTTGCACCAGTTAGCCAAGCAACGCCACCTGCCCCTTCCACCACTGCAGTTGCAGCAATTTCGAACCCTGCTTCAGTTGGATTCATAGCTTCTCGAGAGGATGTGCTAACACGAGCAGCTGCGCTTGGACGTGGTGCTGCCACCACAGGATTCAAGAGGTTCCTTGCTTTAACAGAAGCTGCAAAGGACCGGAAGGATGGACCTTTTCGGAAGCTCTTCAATGCATGAGAATTGTAGATAGGTGCAAATATGTTGTTATTTTTCTTTCTTCTTTTTGTTGTATGCTTCTTTTACAACCAATTCTTTTTCCGCCCCTTTTAGAAACAATTTTGCATCGGAAAACAAATTGTATTATTCTCTCAATGGTCGAGCAGCTTTTACTTCTGAGCTCCTACAAAAGAATTAAGAATCTTCAAATTCTATACTGATATCAAATATTTCAAGCTAACAAGAAGGTTGAAATTTTTGGTTTTCTATATTATATCAGTAAATAAATGAATTCCAAAAAGTTTACATCTTAATTTGAACAATTGGAATTTTAAAATAAAAAATTGGTAAACAATTAATCCAAAAAAAGAGAATTATTAAAAAATTAGCTACTTTATTTAACCATAATATCCTATTGGGTTGGGTTGGTTTTTGAAGTAGCAATTTTGCTTGTGTCCTTATTTTACAGTGGCTTCAAGGACTTGTTCAAGGTATAACTATCACTGACTGATGGAGGGGTATAAGGATCATCGTTCAAAGGCATTATTCTAAGGAATCCCCCGGCATTTACAAGCAACGTGCTTTCAACGCGTGCTTGCCCACCAAATGAAACGCAACCTCGTCTTGTTGCTTTCTTTGTTTCTTATTGGGTATCAAACGAAGATTAGACAGAATAAAGACTACCAAGGCTTACATATGTATACGAAAAGGCGGCCGACACAAACGGAGCGCCAAAGCTAACCTCCACAGCGCATGGGCGTAAGAGAAATCCAAGTGGCAGCTCACAACCTCAAGCACAACCTTATAGTCCACGAACTCGACGATGTCTGTGACTCGGTCACTGCTCGTCCACTCACCGGCTCATGGCTCTGGGACTCAGCCGTTGTTTTGTCTCACTGGATGCCCACTCACCTCAATTTTCATGGCAAGGCTGTCATCGAGCTCGGAGCTGGAGCGGGCCTCCCCGGCTTGACAGCGGCTCTGCTTGGCGCCATCTGGGTATTGCTCACCGATGTCCAACCGCTCCTTGCGGGACTCTTGAAAAACGTTGAAGCTAATGGGCTCGAAGGAAGAGTTGAGGTGAGGGTACTCGTTTGGGGATCGGACGACTGGATTAGCGGAGTCACTGAGTAAAGCACGTTTGATGTGGTTTTGATGAGTGATGTGTTCTATGACCCGGAGGAGATGGTGGGGCTGAGTAGGACACTCAGAAGGATCTGCGGAGAGGGTACTGAAATATGGGCGGCAAGCGAGTTGAGGCCGTGGACAGGTGAATGCTTGAACGAGTTGAGGAACCAGGGCTTCCAGGTTGTTGAGATAGTGACGAGTCAACTCGGAGACCAAGAGGGAGTGAAAGATTGTAGCGAGTTTACCATCTTCCAAATCGTGCCACCGCTTGCGGAAACTTGTAACCTTTCAACTACACCTGTGCATGAGTTTTAGAACAAAACTTCGATATTCGGCCTAAACTCATCTTTGAGTCATCCCAGCTTTCAGAGAAGGGAAAAAGAAAGAACAATTCCGTTGAAAGAAATGGCATGGAAAAACATTATGACAATTTGTACATTATATACCAGGGAAAACAAATCCAAGTCAAACAAACCCAATTTTCTCACATCAAAGCCATCATCAACATTTTATATATACCAGTCATGTCTACAAGCACTAGGAAACACTTCTAACATATCGCCGTCGTCTACCAACAATAGTGAAGAGTACTGTTACATGTCAGGAAGAGCTGAAAGGGTCAGGCAATATTCCCCAGCATGCTGTACAAAAATTTTCACCTGTAACTGCTTTCTGTATCTATAATGGGTTTATCCCGTAAGTCAACAAACGGCCTGCCGTCTTTTATCATCAAACCCTTTCCACAAAACCTTACCATGTAATGCTCTCTCTTGAATCAATAACCTTTTTCCTTCAAAACAATGCAAAACTTCAAGCAGGTATTTGGGGTTATCCTTTTCTTTCTCAGCCCTGGATGCACTGCCAGTGTTTGCACACAGCCCCATAGATAGCCATTACCCTTACTCCAATGATATTTATTCCCATCATCAGGAATCATATCTTACGGGTTATGGACAGAACTAGACTGACCTCAAACCGGCAAACATTTTGCACTTCAGAGCAGGATATATTTTGGGCACACAAGGACAGCACAAACCAAGTTGCTGATTGCAAAGACTATAACCCATCACATCCAAATGCATCCTTATTCTTAACCATTATAGTGAAGTTTCTGGTTTTGAGAGCCCTGGCCCTGCTGAGGTTGCTGCTGTTGAGGAGCCTGCAAGTTTAGTGGCTGTGTGTTGTAGTGGGCAAAGGGCTGGGAGTAGAGAGAATTCATCAAGCCCTGCAAACAGATAAGCAATTTATACTCCCGTTTAATGCAGAAAAGAACTTACTAAGGTCACAAAATGTACGGCCCAAAAAAAGTCAGAAAATGTGTAACTACAATGTGACAGATTCCCAGACAGATGAACACATACGAACGCTACCACCCTACCGACAAAGACTACCACCCTGGCAGTTCATATTCACTAGCATTAACCGGCAGCTATCTGCTTAGAAAATATATTTTAAATCTCACCAATTTGATAAATTTATTAACAATAATTCTCTATCAATAAGCAATCAGCTCAAGAAGCAACCTGAGACTGAAGCTGGTTTGGATTAGCCACACCAAAGTGGCTCTGCGATGCATCATCTTGTGAAGGGTCATTAAAGCCAACCTGCGTAAACAGGCCTTGCGATCCATGATTCATGTAGTCCTGTAAAAACAGAATTTGGTTAGAAGAAAAACAAGGAATAAAACATAAACTAATTACACCACAGCACTTTGGGCAAACCTGAGACATGAAATCATTTCCAGTGCCAAAACGAGAATATCCAGCTTGAGAATTCTGGTTTAGGAAGTTCCCTGGAAACCCACCCTGTGCTCCTTGTGTAACATAATCAACAGCATACCCACTCTGAGAAGCCTACATGCCAAACACATAGTCAAGCAATGGACATTATCAGACAGGAAGTCAAACACCAAAAGAAACGTTCTTGTTTTATCGACAGAAAATTACAAAGAGAGGAGAAAATTATTGAAAAAAGATTATTCTAAACATCTTCAATACCCCCTTCACAATGCTTTAAGGCCTCAGGGATGGCACTCAGTTTTGTACAGGCTTACTTATTTTAGACCATAACATTGAGGCTTGGCAAGTTGGCAATGAAGGGAACCACTGATACAATCTCCAATAATTGAATTTTAAATTTCAAGCAAATACCAGCAAACCCCACTAACCGATGTAAGTCATACGGAATTGAGAAGATATATTAAGACAATAAAAAATAAGTCCACAGCCTATACCTGAGTTGAAAAGTCAGCAACGTTATAAGGAACATGTGAGCCTTGGCTCTTGAAATCATCACCCAAGAAATCCTGTGCGAGGGTCAAACAAATCAATTTTAAGTTGTTATCAAGAACATAAATTGTAATTATTTAAGGGAAAAAAATAGAAAATTCATGCACATAATTTAATACCTGGGACATTCCCCCCATTGAAAATCCATCACGAAATGTTTGGTTTGGCCCTTGGACTGGCATCTATTAGAGATAATAAACATGCTCAGATTCCAGAATGTCAAAAAAAGATTAAAGGCACAAAACTAAAACAATGAGAACAGGTAAAAACTAAAGTACGAACATTGTTAACAAATCCAGGTTGTGATAATGGACCACCCACAGATGGCTGGCTGTTTGGATTCTCCAGAGGAGGAAAGTTAAAAGTAGATCCAATTGTTCCAACATTTTGCTGCGTGCCTTGCTGGTGTGGGAGATGACTACCAATAGGAGCACCAGCATTACCACGCCCAGCCCCAAAGCCTCGACTTCCTGGTTGAGGGACCTGAGGGACAGCTCCCACTGGTCCATGTACAGCTCCACGAGTTGGAATAGCATAAGGCTGAGAAGGAGGACCAGGGAATGGTGGAAGAGGAACCCGAGGCATTGGGAATCCAGTAGGGTGCACTCCAGGCTTGTGAGTACCATTGGGTGGGCCAGGAGGCATATAAGCACCTGTAATTGGCAACATCAGAAGGTGCATGTTATATTTAAGCAGGGAAGAATCCCTGTCAACACTAATTAATACAAGTGCCAAAGGCATATTCTACTGTCATTGCATATGGCAGTACAAGACATATCACTTACATATTTCCAAAGTGATAATATAATACAAATAACACGTAACTTGTAAACTCAAGATGCGCAAGAGCTTACCCCTAGCACGACTGCTTCTTCTATCAGCATTCGGACTAGATGAGGAAGCAGACCCAATATTATCATTAGGCACAATCCCAGGTCCACCACCAAAGAAAAGTCTCCGGTCATTGTAGATCTACAAGAAACATAAACAAACATTATTTGAATTCACATTTATCCTTGACAACCTCTGATAACTAAAAGTAATTAGGAGAGGCAACAAGCAAGATCAAAAGCTAAAAATTTGAACAGATAACAGGCACTATCCTTTCATTCCATACACAAACCTTTTTGGGCTTTTGGAATTGAACCATACTCTGCTTCAAGTTATTGAGGGGTCCTTCAACCAGGCACTCGTGTTCCTGCAATTTTCAGCAGAAGGAGATCAGTTACCAGGATTGCAAGATACTCCAAGGCACAATTAACACTAGGATAGCTTTAGCATTTGCAATCACTACGAATAGCATGGTTACAAAAATACGCAAGACGATACCTTGTAATGTGTCAATAAACCATTCCACAGAGGTTGTTTGCTAAGAACTTTAGGGTTTCCAAGAATTACAATACCATATCGAGCACGTGTTAGGGCAACATTGAGCCTGCGAGGATCATTTAGAAATCCAATGCCCTAAAAAATTGGATAAAACAGTTAAGCACCAACATGTTAGTTTTTCTCGTATTTAAAGCATCGAGAGAGGAAGAGAGGGTTAAAATATTAGTACTAGACTTTGAATGAACAACATAACTAGAGGCTGATCCACCAAAGAAATGAGAAATATTAAGCCCAACGAACCATTCTACCAATCTTATGGATGGTCAAGAAATTGAAAATTGGTTTGCCATAAGACAAGAACACTGATTTATTAAGTCAGATTTAAAATCCATTCATGAAGATGCTGCAAATCTTTTTTCATATCTAATATAGATATGCTAACCAACAACCAACCTGATGTTCGTTACTTCTCACACAAGACAAGATGATGTAATCTTTTTCCCGTCCTTGGAATGAATCAACACTTGCAACCTGATATAACCCCACAAATTAAATAATAAATAATTACATTATGGCCAAATATTATAAAAGCATTTATTCTTAAAATTCAAATCGACATGTTACCTCAATTTCCTTGTAAAGCTGCTGTCTCAAAGCACCATTTCTTGACATATAATTCACAATATATGCCCTTTGCCCCTCATAAGGTGTTATGACCCCAATCTGCAATATATTAAAACAGTTGTTACACCATCTGAAAGGAAAACAAAAAAAAAACCAGAAAATTACCTGACTAGGAACAACACCACTCCTCAAGAATGTGGTTACAATCTTCTCGACATTTGCAGCCTCGGTTCGATTGAGATATGATGTTCCGCTAGCACTAATCTCCTCTTGTCCCATCTGAAACAAAATTATGCAATTACAAAACATAACCATGGAATAAATAAAGAACTGGACTGCAAATTAAAACATTTAGATGTCCTTCCCCTTCTCCTTACCCCACCAACAGACAGAGAGAAATGGGTAAGAAGAATATGCATGGGGACAAAAGATAAGCAGGCACATGGTAGAACAAAGGTGTATTTTGATTATTACAATCCTGACCACAGTTACAGTACCTGTACATAAAAAAACATGGGACGATTTGGCACAGGCCAAGGAAAATCAATGCCCGATGACTGCCGTTCATTGATTGTCACTCCATTTTGTAATGTGCCTTCATAAAAGCTGTTAGAAGGAAACTCTGACAAACATGGGTGCATTCGGTATTGAACCTAAAATAGAATAGAAAATATTTCCTATCAGATGAGGACATGTTTTCCATTAGCAATTGCATTCACATGAAGTTAGAAAACGAACCCATTAATCAGCCAGACTTGACAGGAACAATTCTAGCCATATTGATATTTTTCAACCACATTGAGTACAATAGACAATTTGATAATCCCATTATAAATAAGATACAATAAAAAGCAGGATATGTAAATTTTAATATTTAAAAATTAACAAGTAGATCATTATCACATCTAGCTGTCAACATCTAAAGGGCAAAAGAAATTAAACAGTGGTGAATAAACATGAAGTTTCAAGACCAGTAAGTCACTTGCGGCCAATTTTTTGATCATCTTAAAAGCAATACTACTACCAAATGTGATACTTCAATATACAAATGGAGGGAAGTAAAAACTTATTTACAATGACCAAAGAAAATAACATGAGAAAAATCT